TCTCTCTATTTCTTTCCTTGTTTCATGTAGATGTATTTGCTTTTCCATAGTTTTCAAGCAAACTTTAAGACAAACCAAGTTATTTTTTAAATAATAATTTCATGAATATTTAGAAATGTATTTGCTTTTTAGTTTATCAAAACTAATACAAGAAGAATCATCAGTTTGTATATTTCCCAGTTAGTTTGATGTAGATGTATTTATTTTTCAAGCAAACCTTAATTGAAACATGGTTATTTTTTAAATATTAATTTCATGAATATTAAGATGAAATGTGGTTCCTTTTTACTTTAGCAAAACTAATTCTAGAAGACTCTGAAGTTTCTCGTCCATTTCCTTCCTAGTTTCATGTGGAATATATTTGTTTTTCCATATTGTTCAAGCAAACTTTAAGTCAACCAAGTTATTTTTTAAATAATAATTTCATGAATATTTAGAAATGTATTTGCTTTTTAGTTTATCAAAACTAATTCAAGAAGAATCATCAGTTTGTATCTCTATTTCCTAGCTAGTTTCATGTACGTGTAGATGTATTTGTTTTTCAAGCAAACTTTAATTGAAAATGGTTATTTTTTAAATACGAATTTCATGAATATTTTGATGAAATGTGGTTCCTTTTTAGTTCAGCAAAATTAATTCTAAAAGATTGTTAAGTTTCTCTGTCCATTTCCTTCTTAGTTTCATACGGGATGTATTTGTTTTTCCATATTTTTCAAGCAAACTTTAAGACAAACATGGCAATTTTTTTATAATAATTTCAAGAATATTTATGTGAGAATTTGTTTCTTTGTAGGTTAGAAAAACTAATTCTAGAAGGATCATCAGTTCCTCTCTCTATTTCCTAGTTATTTTCAAGTGGAAATATTTGTCTAGTCTTAAGAAATTTTGAAGTCATATAAGGATATTTTTGGAATATTAAAATTAGTTTAAGAGAATTTTAGCCGTTTTTCAATATTTTCTGGTAGGTTGCGAGTGAAATTCGTTTTTCGATATTTTCAAGTATTTTTTAAATAAAATCAATTTCTCAGCGAAATAGGTTAAAACATCAACAAATATTTGCATCAAATGCGTCATTAATATAAAGTAACATCGTTCATAAGTTTGTAAATGACGGTGAGATCAGACTTTCGTCACGATTTGAGATGAGCCACTCGTGAGAACTGAAAGTTCCAAAATGACGAATCAGACCCATATTCTGGGCATCGACGTATGCCTTTTACCGGACGAGGAACAAGTATTCTTCCACACTCACGGGGCACGGTTCGCTCAATTTACGTCCGCATTCTTCTGCCGTGTCAAGGTGTAAAATTGACAGGAGTTATAAGATAGGATCGGTTAAATTTCAGTCACGATGCCAGCCGTGAGAACAGTAAAATACCGGTAATTACTTTCTTCTAAAAATTGTTACATGCTGTCCAACGGGATTATTTTTCCCCCTTTGTGTCTTGTACAAAAAGGAAAGTTCAAGGGTAAGTGTACTGTTAAGCTTCATTAATTATGAAGCCGCCTCTTCTTGTAACGGCACGCCTTTGAATCATCACATAATTTTTTTTTTAGGCCGACACGTCCCCGACCTAGAAACTCTTGTTACGGTATTTGAAAACGAGCCGTCGAACTAACAACTGTACTATCTAATTCGTCTTACAAGGTTTTGGAGATATGAAATTTCGGCTTTTTGGTCCGCGTTACTTCCACTTTCTTTTTGAAGTCCTCCACCACGCTGATAGGATAATTGTTCGTGATTCGGAGAAAGCTTTCTGCCCTGTGCTTTATCTGATGTAATTTGGGAGATTCTTCGATAATTATCCTCTGCAGTAAGTTTAGATAACCCTTGAACAGCCATCTTTCAAACAAAACGTGAAATCTATTAGTATTTTGGTACCTTTTTCTCCTATACCTCATGATCAATTGAAAACCATTTAATGATTACCAAAACAGGTTTATTAATTGATTAAAAACGTTTAAACAATCAATGCTGGTAAATTGTTTTTTCTATTTTCTCTAAGAAACAGCCAAAAACATACAGACAGGTGTTACGACAACAAGATTTCCTTCAACCCACACGTATTTTTATGTTTGAAAGTCATCTCTATATAAAAATTTTTCCCTTAATATTTTATTCCTTGACAACTGTTTTATCTTTACTTAAATATCTTTCCGCAAACCTCCATAAAACGGCAGCCAACAGTTCATTAAAATATCACAAAGATTTTACAAGTTGAATAATGCTTTTGTAACGTAATAAATGGTTGCTTCTCCCCTTAGGTTCCTGACATATTTAATCCGCTTATACCATGAATCAAGTTTCATGAATATTTGTATCAAAATCTAGAGAAAAATGTAAATAATAAACATGCTGATCTGAACATTACATTGGATGGATTAGCAACCTAACCTGTCCCTTGCCCTGACCATGGCTGAGCTAACCTAAACCTTCCTTTACCCTTACGCTATCTTTAACCTAACTCTAGGTTTTTATTTATTTTTTTCAAATGTGCAAGAAATTAAAAGAACAGTTTTGTTAAAATAGTGAAAAAGTTAAATCATGAAGATAGGGAGCTGAATCTTGTTACACTGTGATCAATTGAAAGCTTGTTTTCAAATCTTTCTAAATAGCAATTAATTATATTTTCTACGCTTCTCGGAAAATATTGAATGGATATGTAACCTAACCTGATCTAACCTAATTCATCTGTAATCTCAACCCTGCCCATACCTAACCTAACTCATCTCTAATCTCAACTTTTAATTCACTATTTTCGTGGTCCGCTTGACCAATTAATACAAGACAATTAATTAAGGTTTTTAGTTGAGATGAAAAAAAGTTAATGGCACGAGAGGGATTCGAACCCACGACCTTCGGCTAGATACGCCGCCGCTCAACCACCTGAGCTATCGTGACCTCGATCCACTCAGACATCAACTCCCCATCTCAACCCCACCTTATGAGTTTTCCCTCCTTTTGCCATTTTTCAATTTTTTTTCATCTCAACTAAAACTTTAATTAATTGTCTTGTATTAATTGGTCAAGCGGACCACGAAAATAGTGAATTAGAGATTTAAAAATGAAGTAAACTTCACTAAAGCTCTCCGTCGCCATTTCAATTGTCTTCGAGAATCCAAACCGATTACACGACATTTGAAAAATGGCAAAAGGAGGGAAAACTCGAACAATTTCAAAGACATAAGCATTTTTTTATTTTCTCTAAACTTTATACTCAGAAATTTTTCGTGGTGAAAAGGATGAATATTAAGTTGGTTTCTTGTTAAAAAAAAAAAACTTTAATCTACTTTTCAAAAACGCCAAAATGAGAAAAGTACGAACGAGCAAATTAAACGTTTATATCACAGAAATACATAATTGTTTTATGACCGAAAGATGTAGCAAAGTAGTAATATTTTTTTTAGCTCTAACCACCCTGCCCATACCTACCTTGATCTAACCTAATTTATCTTTAATCTCAACCCTACTCAAATCTAACCTGACCTAACCTAACTCATCCCTAAATCTTAACTCTACCCATAACTAACCATCCCTAACCCAACATAGCCTATCTAACCAAACCATACCTAACATTACCAACTCGATCCAACGCAGCATTAATCCAGCATCCTAACTTTACCGAATTTGTGCATCCAACTCGAACAATTTCAAAGACATAAGCATTTTTTTATTTTCTCTAAACTTTGTATTCAGAGATTTTTCGTGGTGAAAAGGATTAATATTAAGTTGGTTTCTTGTTTTAAAAAAAACTTTAATCTACTTTTCAAAAACGCAAAAATTAGAAAAGTACGAATGAGCAAATTCAAGGTATATATCATAGAAATACATAATTATTTTATGACCGAAGTAGTAATATTTTATCTTTAGCTCTAACCATCCATTCAACCTCAGCGGTCGAGCATTCAACGAATATAGTTCAACGAATAACATTGACAGCAGAGTAACTCGTCCAAGTAAAATCAGTTTGACCATCACAAAAAGAAGATTTCTCCCATTCCGAACGGGCTTTTCTGCGAAATAATGTATTTAACCTTTCTCCACAATTTTTCATAAAACAACTACGGAACCAATGCTAACAAATGTTCAGACAACATAGACTTTACAAGCGCAAGACAAGACTTTAACATTATATTTATGTTTATGTAAGGTATTGGTTGAAATGAAAAGGTTAGTGTCAAGAGCGGGATTCGAACCCACGACCTTCGGCTAAAAACGCCGTTGCTCTACCACTTGAGCTATTGTGACGTCGATCCACTCGGACACCAACTTCCCCTCTCAACCTACAACCTTTCGAATTTTACTCCTTTTTGCCTTTTTTTTTCAAATTTCGCGTAATCAGAATTCTCGGTGACATATGGAGTGGCCATGAGGAGTTGTTAGTGAAGTTATACTTCGTTTTACTTATTCAATCCATTATGTTTAGTGGTCCGATTGACGAAATAACTTCTTTCAATTAATTAATCTATACTAAGGTGTTGGTTGAAATGAAAAAGTTAGTGCCACGAGCGGGATTCGAACCCACGACCTTCGGCTAAATACGCCGTTGCTCTCCCACTTGAGGGTCAATACCTAAAATGATAGAGCAGCGGTGTATTTAGCCGAAGGTCATGGGTTCGAATCCCACTCGTGTCACTAATTTTTTTTATTTCAACCAATGCCTTACATAAAGATTAATTAATTGAAAGAAGTTATTTGGTCAATCGGACCACGAAATAAAATGGATTGTATTTATGCTTTAAGATTTATGACTTTTATAATCTATTCTTTGATTATAGCCATAGATTTTATTGGTTATACATAAAATATTATTTATATATTGAAATATATATTTGTTATATTTAAACCTGATCATATAATATTGTGAGAAAGATCGTTTTATGGTTTTCTTGTAACTCGAATTTACAAGAAATACGAACCGTTATGTGACAAATTACATGTGCAATAAAAATTTTACTGTTTATTTTTTCCTAATTATAATTGTTTCGTTTTTTTACAGAGCTCAACGCCCGGAGGATTGTTTACGTGCCCGAACGGTGAGTAAAGGAGTTTATTAGCCTGCTTTTAATGAGACGACTGTGAATAGAAACCAATTTAAACTAAGGGGTTGGCACGACAAAGGGGTTTAATTATAAAACGGCCTTGATTCCTAAGGTAAACAATTTCAAAATCGTTCGAGAAGGGCCGCCATAGGGGAAGATGGTCCTTGTATGAAAATTAATACAAATAGAAAAAAAAAGACGAATAAATCCATGATGAACAACAGCCACAGTCCGACCATTGTCTGCAGTGGGAAGTCCTATTGTTCGCCCGGTCCAGGAATAGATGGCGAACAGGCCTACTTTCATTTCAAAGTAAAAGGCGAATTACTATCGCCTGGTTAGATTTCATTTTATAATTAAATTTAAGCCCAATTTCACACCCTATTTTTAAAGTTTCACTCTGAAATTCGGAAGGGTGTTGGCAATTTAAATGATTTAAAAAGAAACGTTCCAGGCCGAAGAAAAAACAGATAGTTATAAAGAATAAATTTATAACTTTAAACAGTAAATACCTTACGTAATCTATAAATTTCCATAAATTTCATATTATTGAACAATATGGTAACATGAATTTATTATTTTCTTAATAATTGGTCAATATATAAACATGATTTATCAACCCTTCCCAGTTTTCAAAAGATTCAAGAAGTTTTTTTTTGTATTGTAAATAGCAAAATTTATAGGTGACCCGCTTTTTTGAAGTATTTTCATTGTCATTTTTTTAGGGTTAAACCTGTAAATCGAGGTCCAAGCGTAAACAGACGCGGTACAGTTAAACCTCGTGCGTCCTTGCATTCCTATCGTCTTACTAAGTGACTTTCTATCGTCCTTCTTTTCTTTTTTTTTCCATCCGTGTCTTAAGTTCTTCTTTAAACAAATGGCCAAAGTTTCTCTTGTGTGTATGAACAATCGGAGAAATTCACTTTGGCATGAGAAGGTCGTCGAACCCGAAGTGTCACGCGTTGGGCACAGTTAAAAGCCTTTAATCGAATTAGCCTGTTAATTTCTCCCCAATTTGGGTAAAGTTAGCCAAGTGTTTATTTAAGTCAAAAATAAGAGACAGTATGAAATAATTAATTTTTGAGAATAAGCCATCAAGGGATGCAATGGCATTTCTTAATTTGTAATAGGCTTGAAATCGGCAAATTCGACTGGGTGGATTTGAAAATGGAGTAATCCTTGTGTCACGCTTTAAGGATCACTTTCTCAACCTGGCTCATTCGGCTTTTTAGCCGAAGAAACCACTCCTTGCCGATTTTCTTTGGCAATTGTTTAACCGATGTTTCGCATGTTGGGAAGGAAGGCTGTCCGTCATGTGTTGTAAAATTGAAGGTTTGCCCTTTGTTCTTTTTTCATTGGCGTATTATTTAACAATTTGACTTATTAGCTTCGTCATTTCTGAACATTTTGGTCTTCTTATCCTTTCTTATTTGCTCACGTTTCGGTTTTTTACCATCATCAGAGGTGTGTTTGTTTTTCCCAGCCCTTGTGGTATTTCAACTGGTGTTAATGGCTATCGAATTATGTGTTTGTATATTTCAAGTTTTATATGGTAAGTCCATTTTTCTTCGTCATGAAATTTTAAAATCGTCTGTATTATCGAGAGGGTTCGTGATCGTTTTGTGTGAGATTTTGCGTAGTTTACATTTTCCGTCTTTGTTCTTAAAAGACCTTTTTTATTCTTCGTACCTTTATGATTTAAAAATTTTTTTTACCTAGTGGTTCAATTTCAGGAGTCTTCCATATATGTTTGCTGTCTTTAGTGAGGCTTTTATGGATACTGTATTAAATAAATTGGTCAATTTATGCTTATGCTTCTGTCTTAGGTGTCTTGTTAAAATGTTTTTTGTTTATTAATTTTTATTTGTGCGCATTTTATTGGTGCCTGTTTTTACCTTGACTCCCATTCATTTGAGTGATGTATTTGTATCTGTGTATCTTATGTATCTGTGTATGGTTTGAATCATTTTTTATTTTGTTGCCTGTTGCTATATATTTTCTGTATGAAATATTATTTTTCAAACTGGAATTTGTTGTCTGCTTTTATAACAGATTAAGCCAAATTAGTTTGTTCTGTTGTGTTCTGTTTCTGCAGTGTATGATTTATGAGAAGAGTTAAGGATATACGTATATTGTTGATTGATGTCTTTTAGTTATCAACAAGTTGTGTTGTGCTATAATTTCGATGTATTATTTATTTTGAATATAAGCATACTTTTGTGACCATCACTCAGTATTATATTGTATATAAGTATATTGTTTCTGTTGTCCATTAAAATTTAAAAAAAAATCCTGTTATCTTTTATTTAAAACGAAGTAGCTCTGTGTTGCTTGGCCCTTGTTGAATGGGAAAGAGGAAAATTATTTTGCTGCTTAATTGTCCAAGGTATTCATTCATTCAACACGCCAACTACATAGATCTCGATGTGCGGTGGTTAGTGACCGTTAATCGATAATTATTCAGAAATCGTGAGATGCGGTCTGGTGTGATGTAGGTTTCAGAAAAACATTTTCTTTATCGTGCCAACGTTTCGATCTTTATTGAGATCATCTTCAGGACCAGTTGTCACGTTTAGTTGCGACGACAACACGACAGGAAAGAATGGCACAATTACACAGATGATAAACACTTTGAGCCCTGAAGATGATCTCAATAAAGATCGAAACGTTGGCACGATAGAGAAAATGTTTTTCTGAAACCAACCTCACACCAGACCGCATCTCACGATTTCTGAATAATAATAGATCTCGATTATGATCTATAGATCGAAAAATTCCTAAACTCTCCTCTCCTATTTTCCTTCTAAGCCGTTTTCTCCTTTTAGTAGGTTCTGTATTTGCGCAGCTGAACCTTAGCTGTCCAGCAGTGCCACCGTGTTATGGACTTTATTTATATTTCCGTTGAGTTGAGGCAGTATTGTTCCGCGCTTTTAAATGCGTTTTGATGTTTTTGGTCAAGGATATCATTCCTTCTACAAACGGACTTCCGAGTCATTGAACGGTCAGCGTCTTCCTCAAACAATCTTATTCTTGCTGGTGTTTCTCAGGGTAGCATACTAAGTCCCACACATCACCAGGTGTACACAGCTGAAATTCGCTCCAATTCTCAAATCAACACTCTGACTTTTGCAGACGATACCAGCGTACCCTAGTGAACATTATGAACATCTTGTGGCTAAATAAAGCCAGCACCGCTGCCAGATAAGGTCATTGTTTGCTCGTCCAGATATAGGTGATATCGCCGCACCAGACCTGATCCTGTGTCGTGATAACGAACTACAGTTGAGAACATCCGGGATATCAATTTGTTCTCTAATTCTGCGTTACGGAAGCGCTCTTACCAAGCCGCTGATCACTGATGATTCTCAAGCAACTATAACCTTGTTTCTACCGTCAACAACACCTCACCCCACTGGAATTCTGGTGTGAAAAGAAAAAACTAAATTTAACCTAGAAAAATCCACCCATGTAGCCTTCACCCTCCGCAAAAAGCTCCCTCCTTAAGTTTACATTAGTAACAGCCCCCTCCAAGAAGTAGTAAGATAAACACTCCAACATCCTCTCACAAATAAAAACTGATTTCAGTGAATACGACTGGTTAGGTTCAGCAAAATAATTCAAAATCCGCAGCATTCAAACTGATCAATCCGTAACCCTAAAAAAAGCCTTGTCGCTCCATTTGTCATTAGTCATTCGTTAGTCAAACGAAACTACCCAATACAAACCTAAATATTTTCATAACCCCCCCCCCAACCATCATAAATCCTCAAATCCAAAAACTAATTTCGTCAAACCTTCATCGCAGATTGAAGAAGCAATAGCTGCGGGATCTCGTACCCATTGATAGTGACATAAGTCTTTTTATTAAATAGTCACCATTGTAGATTCATTAGAGAACTGCCAATGGGTAGTTTCTAGTCACTTTTATCATTTGTGTCTGTGTGGGTGGTTTGAGTCATACCTAATGGGTGCTGACAGTTACACTTAGTTTTCTTTCTGTGTCTGCTCAAAGAAGAAATCTCACAAAGTTCTTTTTTTAACACAAAGGTGTTCTTTTGATACCCAAAATGTTTAGAAGAAAAAGTTTTAACCACAGTTATCGTATAATATTAAATTGAAAATGTTATAAGCACGATGCTTTTTCAAATGTACCGCTTGGCCAAAATTGACCAATCAGAATGGCAAGGCATAACTGGAATATTTAAAAATAAAGAAAAAGATTTTCAACAGCCACTTATCTCAAGCGATAACCCTCAGGGTAAATAAATAGCAAGATTCACGAGAGAAGAATGAACGATACAAATCCAATTATTCAACGTTCACTACCCTTGGACCGGCATCCTTGACTTCTCAATGGGCAAAGGTCAGTTCTGCCCACGCTGTGCCCCTTTTTGGTAATCGGGATGCTGGAGAAAGAAATTGTGTCGAACAGATAGAAAAATCCGGGCTAATAATCATTCTCTCCATGAGCCATTGATACTGGAGATCCTTCGACTCCTCGTGCCCTTCTCAAACGATCAGCGCACTTCTTTTCTATCCTGGCTTTAATTCTATTTTCCAATGTAGGATTAATCACCTTTGCACAATTGTATTGGAGTAACGGTAAAGCGAGAAAAAAACCAGAGCTAAAAATCAATTATATCAATCTTTTAGAAGGTGTATCCTCAAAAGATTATTTCAGGTCAAAGCAATAAGCATAAAAAATGTATATAATCCAAAGATTGATAAAATCGCATATAAAGATTCTTGCGCATAATTCATAAGTTGAAATGAAAACTATTTGAATTAATTAAATTACATACGCACAAGGTCAGTTGTTGAAAAACAACATTCATTTGAAACAGACTCCAACCCGGTCGATACGTTACATTCAATTTCTTGCCCAATGCCATTTTTTTACTAGTGGTCAGTTGTGGAGCTCATACAAAACTGTACACCCATTGCAAAACCTATTGGGATGATTGGTAAAATGTTACAACATATACGCTCCCTTC